ATAACTTGTGAGTTTTGAACTGAATTTGTTCTCGATAAGCATAAATTCTACAGGAATAAAGCATAATTTGTTATGCATTTTAAGATATAACTTGTGTTATATTATGATATAAAAATATAAATTATGTCGAACAAAAAATATTTGTTATTTTAATGTTAGAGATATTTTTTACCACTTATTATTTTTCTTAAAATGTTGAAGAACAAAAAATTTAAAATCATCAAATCGGTAAAGACTAGGTTGTTCTAAATCGAACCTTTTTTTTTGGTAATTGGTTTTTGGTTCAGCGATTTTGGTAACAATTTAAACTTTTTTTTTTATATCGGATTATCAATTCTAAAAGGTTTGAAGTTTTTTCTTAACGGGTTAACAAATAACCCGATAGTAAATTAATAAATTATATTTATATCATTAGATATATAAAGTCAAGGTTTAGTTTCATACTTTCATTTCTAGCTGTGTCAAACTCTCGGCTATTCTATTCTCTTTAGAGCAAGATTCAGTTTGTCAACACATATGCACGATTCATTTTTTTTGTAGTCTTGTTTATAAGTGTTTTTCAATGTATAAAATCTTAACGGTTAAATCAAATAACCGAACCGATAACGACCGATACATAGCCCAACCAAAATAGTGGGATTGACCCATGAAATCCCTAGCTGGGCTCAGCCCATAAAATAATAAGCCCAACATCTCAACCCAAAGCAAGTCGGCCGAAGTCTTCTCCGGCAACCAACTTTGTTCTGAGAAAATACTTCATTGCTAGCTGTAGCTCGACGGACGGCGGTAAGCAGAACGGCCAGCGGTGACTCCATTTGCGGTAGAAAATCACAAAGTTCGTCTTTTGTAATCTCCATTTCTATATTTGCTTTTCTATTTATTTTGGGAATTTCGGCTTTTGATCATAACTTGTTTGATGAAATGCCTATGATGTGAGTATTAGAGGACTTTAATTTTTTACTTGTTTTGTGATACTGTATCTGTTAGATTGAATTGAAAAACTTGAAAATTGGTAGAACGATGATTGTTTGGATTTAGATGTGTAGTTAAGGATTGTATGCTGAATGATTGTTATTGAATTCATAGGTATTGCTGGCTTTTAGTTAAGGTGTATGTACTCTCTACCGTTTCCAGACGCCACTTTGTTGTTGTTAATCCCTATGTTTCAATTTATGTGAGGTGTTTGTGTGGGCACAAAGTTTATTTAAGAAATTGGAAACTTTTGGGAACGACTAAAAAGGAAAAAACGTGACATAAATTGGGATATAGGATCACAATTTGTATCCTTTGAGTGCATTCCACTCAATGCTGTAGATTTTACAGAGAGTTTTGAATCATTTGGAATGTTAAGGGAAAAGTGAAACCTTTTATTTCACTTTCGTCGGTCTAATTTCCATGTGAATGCTTTGTTCATCGAGATAAATTACTTTTCCTGTTATGGTAGAAAGTTGTTGCATTCAGTTACCATATTTTTGTCTAATGCAGAAGGTAAGTCTTACCCGTATCTTGTTATTCATGAATTAATGTCGCTATACACACTTTTTTCCAAGAAGGGAAGTGAAGTAAAAGTAATCCCAGGTATTGTATGCAAAAAGAACTTTCAATGCCATAAATGCAGACTGCAATTTTATCTTCCCAAATGTCATTCAGCTGGCTAGCATGTGAACTTGATTTTTCTGGTAATATGTTTTGATTACTAAGAGAAGTATTAAAGGAGCATTTGGACCAAGTAACGGGACGGAAAACAAGCTCTCTAAACTACTACTACTATTTAATTCATTCATGTCTTTTTTGAAGTACAGTCTCTCAATCTAAGATTTTCTTTTACTTTATGTAACAAAAATTATATGTTAGCCTCAATTGAAGAGGAAATGACTAAGTCTAATTCTGCTAAGAGGGGGCCTCTCTATTGTCATAAAGTTCTGAGATTTTCTGATGTGAGCTTTGACTTTAGATGCCAAGAATTTGTATCCTAGTCTCAGTAGTTTAAAAAAAAGAAAGAATTTATATCTTTTAGTCTCAGTAGAAGAGGAGTATGATTGCTCAGGTTCTCCTTTTCTTGATTTTTTTCTTTTCTTTTAAATCTTTCAAATCTAATGCTTCGAAGAATGATTCTTGTAGAATTAAATTTTCTTGTAAAAGTTGTTGTTCATTCAACTTAATAGCTTTTCTGCCGATGCCATGTTACAGTGTAACTGCTGTCAAGTTTCAAGTCGGTTAACGTTGTCTTACTTTGCACGGTATCTGCACTTTGCAGGACACCTTTATCGATTGTAATCTGAGAAAAATATGATTAGAGGCCTCCTTTTCTTTACCTTGTTTTCGGTGATACACATGAGCGACATTTAAGAAAATATAACAATTCTTGATGGTCCTTCTGGTTTAAGTGGAGAACTAGAAATTAGGATGATGTGGATTGCCCTTGCCAATAAAATAAACTTTTTATATGATTTTGGTTGTTCGAGGGATAGGGGAGCTATGAGGAGGATGTGGAGCAAAGATTTTTCAGTTTCTCTAAATGTGCTTCTATGACAAGAAATTACATATGAGGGAAATTCAGTGACTTAGTAGCATTATAGAGTGTTGCAAATAGCAAACGAACGAGAAATATCATGGATGTCTTTCCTCTTTCATCTTCTTCTTTTTTCCTTTTCTGTTTTTGGTTCTTCATAGTTTGTATAAAACATATGAGTAGATTTGATTGTGCTGCTTTCATGCCTGATTCGAAGTTCCAAATGATGTTATTTGCATGTTTAACCAATTTGTATCAGCAAGTAAACTTTGATTTGGCACAATTTGTTTCTATTGTGAACTGACTGGATACATTCAGTCACTGTAACTTGTGGATTTTCCTACTTTTGCTTTTAATTTTCAGATATTATATCTCTTATAACTTCTTCTCAGCTCCAAGCAAAGATTTGAAAGAGCATCGTCTGCCTTTTATTATCCGTTGCTCAATCAAGGAAGTGTTGTATCTACTACTAATCTTGGTCCTTCATTCACTTGAAATGTCTTTGCGTAGACCTCCACTTCCTCGACTTCTGCTGAACAATGTCTCGTGTATGAGAAATGCTCAACAAATTTTGCGCCACGTAAATGCTTCCCTCCATGATGGTGGTGCACTTGTACTAACAGGCACCAATGGCTCTGGTAAATCCACATTCTTGCGCATGTTGGCTGGTTTCTCAAAACCATCAGCTGGTGAGATACTCTGGAATGGCCATGACATTACTGATTCAGGTGTTTTTCAACAGTACAAACTTCAACTCAATTGGCTGTCTCTTAAGGACGCCATCAAAGAGAAGTTCACGGTCCTTGACAATGTTCAATGGTTTGAAGTTCTTGAAGGCAAGCAAGGAAAGTCTCTGCCAGCTTTGGAGCTTATGGGGCTTGGAAGATTAGTAAACGATAAAGCACGGATGCTTTCTATGGGTCAAAGGAAAAGGGTACAGCTCGCCAGATTGTTAGCAATTGATCGACCTATTTGGTTGCTCGATGAACCTTCAGTAGCATTGGATGACGATGGTGTGAAATTGCTCGAATATATCATTGCAGAGCACAGGAAGAAAGGTGGCATCGTCATTGTCGCCACCCATCTGCCTATTCAGATTGAGGATGCAATGTTTTTAAGGTTGCCACCAAGGTTCCCAAGAAGGATGACGTTAGTAGACATGCTCGATAGAGGCGGCCTCGACTGATCTTTAAGAAGATAAGAGTCCAATCTAAAGAAAGCTCTCCAATGAATTCAAAAGGGAGCACATGATGTTACAGAAACAACAAAAGTGTGTATGCAAGTTTTCTTGTAGTGGAATCAAAGTTTCCACTTTTCTTTCATTCTTGATGATTGCAAGAATTTCTCTATCTTTACTTTGTTAGTTCCTCCTCATTTTGCACTTCAGTTTGCCGCTAAAATGTGCCGACAACACATGCCCTCAGGCGTTGGTCTAATGGTAAGAGCCGCAACATTGGATGTGTGGATTAGACGTACATCACGAGTTTGAATTTGTTGCGGACAAAAACTTGGAATTTAAGCAGCAAAGGATAGAGGGGTAAGTCTATTATTCGTCGAGTTTCGACCCGTGTCGGCTGGCACTCGGGGATTTCTTGTTTTTTGTAAAAGAAATTTGTAGATAACACCTTGCATCAGATTATCAGATGTAGTGTTTCTCTTATACAACATTCCAAATAGCTTAATTGTTTGTATGCTAGTTTGAAGCAGAGAATTTAACACATTCAGTACTTATTTGGCTTTTGTAACAACTTTAGACATTACAACATAATATAAGTTTCAGCTTTGTTTCGTCAGCAAACTGGGTACAGATTGGATTAGTATTTTTTTTGTGAGAGTTCGATTTCCAATCTTGTAATCTCCTCCCTGTTTCACTTCCTATCCACATTTTTTGATATATAAAACTTAAAGTATTTATTCTTGATGCAATTATCGAACAAGCATGGTAGCGACCTACATAGTCTAATTCGTGATTGCAACAGTGCAATTACGAAACAAGAACATGTTAGTGAGTTTACTCAACACAAATTCAAATTAGTTATTTTTTCTAAACTTCAAAATTTAGGAATATACGAGGAGAAAGAAAGAAATTCAGGTTATGAATTAATAATCGGGAATTCATATTTATTTATTTATATATATATGGAAAAGTCCGATCAACACATGTATTAGATAATTGAATTCAAAAATGGATCAATAATACACTACTCCGTGACTTTTTATATAGCTCCATCTAGTTAACCATTAGTTTTATGAGCATTTTAATGCCAGAAAATAAAGTTGATGGCATTTTTGTTTCAAATAAATAGAGATAATAGTAGTATTTTCTTTTAGCCAAATTCAATAGATTTATTTTTAAGTTAAAAATAAATAAATTCCATTTTAGAAAAATCACGTGGTTACCATGTGCTTACACTAATTCCACAACATCTCTGAGTGGTTCAAAATTTTATTTCAAAATACAAATTTTCTGGGATTTTAGTATATAATCTGCCAAAAAAGAAAAATATCTGAATCTTGGGTTTACTGAAAAATGATGAAGAAATCATGGGTTTGTACTTTTATTACTCAATTTTGTTTATGTTTATCTCTTTTTCTTGTTCTCAACTTGTGTCAAAATCAGAAGCCAATGATAAGGAATGGAAATGTGAATAATCTTCCTATGGATATATGTTTTATAAGTGTTACAGGAGGTATTAGGACTCTTGAAGAACAGACCCTTCTTCTCAAACAGGTCAGTTTTTCAACCAATCTTGAAAAAAAAAAGTTTTTTTTTGGTTATTTGTGTAAAGGAATGATTTTTATTTGAATATTCCTTGTTGGAGCATGGAATCTTGAACTGTATTTTGGTTTGGTGAAGATTGGTAGTGTTAGTTCAGTCTGTAGTAGAAGAATGTCAACAATCAATCTTGAAAAAAAGAATGTTTTATTTGGTTATTTGTGTAAAGGAATGATTTTTACTTGAGTGTTCCTAGTTGGGGCATGGAATCTTGAACTGCATGGTTTGGTGAAGATTGTCAGTGTTAGTTCAGTCTGTAGTTGAAGAATGTACACTTAATAATCAATCTTGAAAAAAAATATCTATTGTTATTTGTGTAAAGGAATGATTTTTATTTGAATGTATGTTGTTGGGATATGTGTTTTGAGCTGAATTTTGGTTTGGTGAAGATTGTAAGTTAGTTCAGTCTATAGTAGAAGAATTAAGCAACTCTGGATTTCTATTTGGCATTAGTTAGTTAGATTTGCTACACTTGAGCCAAGGGTCTTTCGGAAATAGTCTTTCTTTCTCCACGAGGTAGTGGTAAGGTCTGCGTACACTCTACCCTTCCCAGACCCAACTTGTGGAATTCTACTGGGTATGTTGTTGTTGTTAGCATTAGTTGGTTGAGGAAAAGTAATCAGTTTCAGTATATAGTTTGGAGGTGTACTCATCCAAGATTGGATAAGATTTAAAATGATTAAAACATTTGGTAGAAGGTGCAAGTAGCACATGTTGATAAAATGAGAGAAAGTCACTTGAAATGGTTTAGCCATGTTATGCATCTACCTCCTACGTGTGGGTCAGTTGGTGTGAAATTATGGCGAGTGAAGGTGTTAAAAAGGGACGAGTTAGAGATAAAGTCACATGGAAGAAAGTGGAGAAATTCTGATGTTCAAATGAAATTGTTACCCGTGATGAAATTCATCTCCTTTGTATCATGTTCATTTTTGGCTGATTCAGTTTTGATGGAATCTGATATTGAATGAAGGTGGAGAAGGTAGCAAAAAAGTTCAATGCAAGATTCGTTATCAACATAAGCGAACTTGGGGAAGATGATCCTCTTATGCAAAATGTAAGCCCTCCAATGACTTTTATAAGTGCATAATCCAGTGGTTATATGAATTTGAGTACAATGATGCTAGTGTAGGATGTAACACATAGATACTTAATGAATTGTGTTCAAATTAGATAATTTACTAAGTTTTCTTGGTCACCTGCTTACCGACCAATGTTTGGTTTTGATTCATATTTTCAAGATACCTAAAGTTCTAAAGACATCTCGTTTTTTGTGTTGATTACATCTTGTTGCAAAAATTGGGTACTGATTGTATCACTCCGGCTTCACACAAGTTGTTTAAACCATGTGATTTAGACATTATGTAGCACACTAACTTGTCAACTTCTCTTCTTGTGCAAAAGATGTTTGGCTTGTGAACTTGCTTCTCTTTCAAGTGGCAAGCTCCCGGTAGTATTTACTACAAAAACATGTTCACTACTTTGTCTGATAAAAAGGAATCAATCGTAAATTTCCGATGAGGATTCAACGAAATGATAATCTTACATATCCACCGGTCCCTTCCTTGGCAGGCTACTTGGCATTTTCCTTCCGTGAAGATCCCATGGTATGCTCCTCTATGAATAAGCAGTTTGTTCCTCTTGGACTAACTTTTTTACTTTTAGATCTCGGTTTCATCATTTGAAATGATTTGTCTTTGCGGTTTCCCTTCAGCCATCCTCAACTTGTAGGTACTCTACTCGAGCTCTCAAAGGACAAGGGGTGAATCACTACCTTAAACAATTCAAATTTGCCCATGGAAGCTTAGATATTATAGTTGTGGATACAGGATTATATGAGGTAAATGTTTCTTTCTTTTATCTGATTAAATTGGCCTTTTACGCACGTTACCTAGATGGTGTCACTTCAGCTTTCTGCTCACTTGATTATCGCCTATCGTCTTTGTAAGATAGGCTTCTGTTTTCAGACTTTCCACCAGCTGATTACATATCGTGCTTTGTTTCTTTCTTTTAATATTGTAAGTTGGTTTGTGAAAAAAAGAATGGATCTTCCTGAAAACAGTTCTTATCATTCTGCCTATATTTGACAAAGACTTACGATTATATAAATGAGTTTCAATTATAGATGTAATTCTCCCATGTCATCCTTAATCTCAACCGGTCCTAGAGAAACAGTTCTCTTCTTCCCAGATAGGGATATCATTCTCATTCTTATTTACAAATTTCAAAATTTACTTTTTGCTTTTGCTGTAGATCACTTTCGACGTTTAACTTTGTTCTTCTTGTTTCTAGGTTGCTTCAAATGGTGCTGGAGATAGGCAGTCACAATGGCTGATAGACACGCTTGAAAACAGTGAAAGCAAATGGTACCTTCAGATTGCAATCTTTTACTCCAAAGAGAAAATATGTGACAAAAGTGATATCGTGTGACTAAAGTGATAGTGTAAATGCAGGTGCATTGCTATGGGACTTCATCCATTGGTAGCTTACGAAGAAGATACTCCTCAAACGAAACTAAAACACGAATTCCAGTCTTTACATGGCGTATTTCTGAAGTACGGGGTGGTAAGTCAAAATCTTAACGCTACATCTCCATTTCTTCAGCAACTTTTGAGAGCAAGGGACCTGAGGAATACCTGAACACCAGATACCATTTTTTCTGCAAAACCAGCTTTCTATATCTAAAATTTGATAACTTATAGCCCCCAAGGCTTTGGTGTAGTGGTAGAGCGCAGCACATGCTATGTGGGTTAGGCGCACGTCACGGGTTCAAATGTTGTTGTAGACAAAAAACTTGATACACAAGTGGAAAAGGATAGACGGACAGACCCATTATCCACCAAGTTTCTAACCGTGTGCTGTTGGTCCTAGAGAATTTCTCCGATATGAAAACGAAGATTTTTTACTGACATATGTTGTTTTTGTTTTGCTTTTTCCTGTTTAGGATGCATATATAAGTGCCCCTGCTTGTGCTGACAATGTTGAGGAAAGACATTGCAAAATCCAAAATTAGTATTGCCAGATATAAAGGACCTTTGCTGACTAAAGTGAATCAGAACTTGCCTTACTCTATGTGAGTAGTTTTCTTGAACATCAGTCAACTTTCAAGATTCAAGCGATGTTGCTCGGAACCTCCAAAAATGCTGCTCCACCCGTGTTGGATCCTCCAAAAATGAATTACAATTAGAGGATCCAACACACACCCGAGAACATTTTTGAAGGATCTGAACAACATAGGACTCAAGTGAACACGTTCCAACTGTCATTATTCATTTTTTTTCTAGGGAAAAAGTAAATGGATTCCTACTTCACAAAGTCGGTGCTCTAGAGATTGTGAGTTTTTTTTTTAAATCTTGTTTAATATTATACACAAGCCCCTTTATATTATGTTCTTGATGTTTTAACAATTATTATTTCTAACAGGTTTCCTATTTAGTCACCTTGGAAGGTGATGTTGTGCAGAAATTTTTTCTCCATCAAAGAGGCAAAGAAGTTATGTAGATATTCCTATAGCTTCAGACATCATTTAGGGGGAGCCATTTTCTTCCGATCGCCTTTTTTTCGTTCTAGTTATCGTCGTGGAAAAGAATGAAGAAGATCATAGATTCGATCAAATATTAGTGATGAATTGCCGTTCTCGTCTTTTTCTCCTTTTTATTTGCGGAGTAAGGGAAGAAAAAGAGAATGAATTACAAGAAAAGTAGATTCAACATTCATGCTTAAGTTCGGATTAACATATTCAACGTTCGTGCTCAAGTTGAAATTAGATCTTTTGCAAGATACTGATATTTATTTTGAATATAACTGGATCCTTTCCATGTTTTCTTGAGATGTTAATGGAAGCGGGATTGTTTGAGATTATAAGTTTTATGCACTGACGATAGAATTTATTTATTTATTTTTAAATATCATTAGATTACTATACAAACATTAATTGGTAACCTTAAAACTATACATTAAAGGATAGTATAAGAAAATTTAATACCATTAACTTAAATTCTTTGGACATATACTTCTACAAATACATTAATAAATAACTTATGTACTTTTTAGCGTTTCACATATCTAAGTGATAAGCAAGATATTATCTATTACAAGCTAAGCATCCGAAAGAAGGGTAACGATCGAAAGTTATCGAAATTAGTATACTAAAAGATAGTACCAAAATAAATATGGCCAATTTGTTATCGAGTGCAAGCAAGCAGTCAGCTGATGACCGATTAGTCTTATTCAAAACACATTCCTTGTTGTTACTATAGGTAGTAAACCACACATAGTCGTTCACTTCTTCGAAAAAGGAGTAATAGTTGAGCAAATGTGTTATCTTATATTATCGCAGATTTTATTGTACCCTCGTTAAGTTCTTCACAAAAATAGATTTGGGCAAAGAATATTAAAACAAATATCATTATTGCTATTTATTATATTTATAGTTATATATAAATAAAAATTGAAAAAAATTATTTTGTACCACGTTTTCAATGTACATTCAACTACACTAAATTGTGATTTTAGAAGGAAAAAAAGAATTAGATTTTAATATTAAAAGTGTAAGAAGTTGATGTTCATATTTTCACTAAAATATAAATCAAATTGTATCATTCTACTTATTTAGACCAAAATACCCTTCCATTTCGACACACACGAGGCTAAGCAACCGCATTAACAAACCGTAAATAAGTATTCACACGAGGGCAAAATTAGAAACATTGCTGCTTTTAAGATACTGAACTTCCATTGATGAACCAGAAGAAGAAAACTAAAGCTCAGAAAGAAAGAGAAGAATATAGCAGAGAAGAGGAATTTTTCTAAGGGTGGTTTACCTTTCTCTGCAACTCCAATGAAAAAAAAATTCAAACAACCCTTGAAGGTATAGACTAAAATGGTCCTTAATGTACGTAGTTGAGCTAAATTCATCTCTCAACGAAGAGATAGAGAGAGAAAGAGAGAATTTTGAGGCTGTAATTTGATACTTGCAAGAGAAACTAAGAGACCCATATCTTGGCGGGGCGACCCGGAACGTAACCCGATGTTAGCAGCCATGGTGATTGTCTTTATTTCTCTTGTTTTTATCAACAGATCTGAGCTTCAATTTTACTCTTGTAGCTTTAATTGTATTGTTATTCTAAAAGGGTGTGTTTGGTATGAAGAAAAATGTGATCTTTTTGTGATGAATTTCATCAGTTTAAACTAAGGGCCTGTTTGGACATGCGATATGGAATCATGAGGTTAATAGAGAGAAGGGATTTTTTTTTGTTAAGGGTGGTTGCTCCTCTCTATTGTGCCCATGATTTTCTTTCATAGCAATTAAAGCAACAGCCCTTGTTAATGAAATACTCAAACCAACAATAGTTCAGTGTGTGTGTCTATGTTGCTTTTTCGCCCTTTCGGTGTAATTGTGCAAAATAGGCTGTGATCATGACAATGTTCAACTTTCTGTGCTAACAAAATTGGGCATTGAAGATAGTCTGACCCCGTATCTTGGCTTGGCAAATCCCAGGATGGCCTGTAACTGAAGCTCAGTCTTTTGCATGCAACTGGTGTTTTGCAGCCATGGCGGGGTTGCCTTCTCTTTCTCCGAGCAAAAATATATTATCTGAGCCTCAAATTTCTGAAAATTGAACTGGGGAACTCATGTGCTTACATTTAAGTTTGCTCCAAGTAGAATGATGTATAGTTGCACACTGGTCATTTGCACTTTTGTCCTTATTTTGTTCCTAGTTTATATTTGCATATCATAATATCCCACTAGTTTTGCACTTACATGAGTTCATATCATAGTATCCCACAAGTGGGGCATAAGTTCGGTTGCTAAAGGGAAAAACATGCAATTTCATGTTGTACACTATCACAAAGATGGGTACTTTATCTACTTCTTAGATCTAAGCCTATGAAATCAGGGAGAGTTTAGCGGAAGAGACCCCAGTAAGTCTGCATTTAAACCAAAAGCACTTTGCTTTTTCAGTGAATGTTGTCGATAGATAGATATATAGATAGAGAATATGATGCTATGATGATAGTCTCTTCCCTTTTTCTTTTGAGCAACTCAATAGGGCACGAGACTAAAGGGACTGCATCTTGGCGGGGCAATCCGAATGGCTATGATTTTGTGTCATGCTAACAGTGTTTGCAGCCATGGTGTCGCCTTCACTCTCTTGTCTTGTCAACAGATCTGATCCTCAACCTTACTCTTAGGGTGTCTTTGGTATGATGGAAAACATTTTTCATGATGAAATCAGCACTTGGTTACCATCGTATCCCTATGAGAAGAGAAAAGTTGCGAAATTTTCAGGTGACAGCCAAGAATCCTAAAAGAAATCAACCAGAAAATGAAATGAGGTTAATAGAGAGAAGGGATTTCTTCTAAGGGTGGTTGCCCCTCTCTGTTGTGCCAATGATTTTTTATGGCTACTAAACCAATAGCCCTTCTTCATGCAATATTCAGAAGCAGAATATGATCCATAAATGATAATAGTTGTACTTTCTGGGTTAACAAAATGAGGCATTGAAGACAATCCGGCCTGTACCTTGGCCTGGCAAATCCCAGGATGCCAGCAACTGAGGCTCTTTCTTTTGCATGCAACCAGTGATTTTGCGGCCATGGCGTGGTGACATTCTCTTTAAGGGATTGTTTGGTTGCTGGTTAGGAAAGGAGTTGTTCATGTTAGGAGGTTTTTTTGAAGGGTGGTTGCCCCTATCTGCAACTCCAGTGATTTCTCATATGAAAAGAAAATGAAAAAAAAAATCAAACAATCCTTTAAATCTCAGGAATAATTATCCACACCCTGTTGAGATTTTTGAATCAAATTGTCGTTTATGTTATGGAGTTGAACTAAGTTCATCTCACAAAGAAGAGATAGAGATAGAGATGAATTTTGAGGCTTCAATGATACTTGACATGAGAAATTAAGAGACCGTATCTTGGTGGGCTGACCCAGAATGCAACCCGAGGTTTGCAGCCATGTCAATGTCTTCATTCTCTTGTTTTATCAACAGATTGAGCTACAATTCTACTCTTGTAGCTTGTTTGGATGGTTACCTATTGTGTTGTATTGTTATTCTAAAAGGGTGTGTTTGGTACAAAGGAAAATGTTTTTTATGATGAATTTCATCAGTAATTGGTTTCTAATGTAGCCTCTGAAAAGAAGAAAGTCGGGAAATTTTCTGGAGAAAATTTAGTATTTTCCTAAAGAAAGTTAGCACAGGAAGAAAAATGAGGAATAGAGAGAAGGGATTTTTGTTAAGGGTGGTTGCCCCTCTCTGTTGTGCCAATGATTTTCTTTTTAACAACTATAGCAACAGCCCTTGTTAATGAAATACTCAGACAAACAACAGCTTAGCCGTAGATCTCAGTGTGTGTGTGTATTGCCTTTCCCCCTTTGAAGTAATTGTGCAAAAGAGGCTGTGATGATGACAATGTTTTACTTTCTGGGCTAACAAAATTGGGCATTGAGGACAGTCCTACCCGTATCTTGGCTTGGCGAATCCCAGGATGGCCTGCAACTGAGGCTCACTCTTTTGAATGCAACTGGTGATTTTGCAGCCATGGTGTAGTTGCCTTCTCTTTGTCCAAGCAAAACTGCAGTATCTGAGCCTCAAATTTCTGTAAATTGAACTGTGGACCTCTTGTGTTTACATTTAAGTTTGCTCCAATTAGAATGATGCCGGGGGGTGCTTGTGGGAGGGGGTTGTGCCACGACGAAACAAGGGAATGAAAGGCCGCTTTGTGTTTGTACAGTTGTACACTGGGTCATTTGCACTTTTCCCTTATATTGTGCTGGTCTTTAATTTATGCCCCTCGTAACCAAAAATATTTTTGGCAGGGCAAGCTTATATTTTCTTGTCATTTTATCCGACAAGTTTTGCTAACATGACTTCAGTTTAAAAGAACTTCTGAGTTCTGCCTCACTAGGCATAAGTTCAGTTGCTAAAGGGCAAATTGTGCAATTTTATGTTGCACACTATCACAAAAAGATGGATACTGTATTTGCTTCTTAGATATAAGCCCATGATATCAGGGAGAACCATGAAGGTCCTTCAGATATAAAGGGAATAGGTGGTTGACTGGTTGTGTGTGGTTATGAAACTTCTCTTATTACTAGACACAATATTTTTAGGAATTTAAAGTTTCAAGGTATTGCAAGTCCGTGGTTCCATGCATTGGGGTTCCAATTTTAGTGTATAGGTCAAATCTAATTGATTTTTTTTTTTGTTTTGTTCTTGCAGCAGCTGACCATCTCAGACAAGTAAGGCTTTTGGTAAATTATTGTTAGGCTATTCTTTGATTTAATTATAATTATTAATTTTTTCTTGGGCCGAGCTAAGTTGCTCGGACTTGGGTGTTCAATACGGGTGTGGATGTCCAATACGGGTGCAGATCTAATTTTTAAGATTCGGGGATATGGATCCATGTGTGGACACGGGTGCGGGGATTCGCCTAAAAGTAATTAAAAAATTCTAATTTTTTGTTGGTTTTTCTCTGTAACTAACACTTTTGGAGGTGGCCAGCATAGCCCTTAATGCTGAGGAATACAATGTTACCAGTTTCAAAAAAAAAAAACCTAATTTACGAGATATTATGTGGAGAGCTTGAGGAGAATCCTGGAAGGAGATTAAAGGAGACGGAGTGACATAGAAATTTCTATATAAAAGGTATTCCATTTTCTTCAATTTCACCTTAACTTTTGTATTGATTACAGAAATTATTAAAACTGTCCCGACTTTCCCCATCGATTTTGGTCAAAGTACCCAAAATCGGTTGACCAAATCGGACATGGATC